ATTCACGCGAGAAAATCTTTAATCTTTATCAATGGTGATTCTTGGATTAAAAAAACCGAGAATTATTTAATGTAACTATGGGTGCTTATGATGGTGCAGAAGTATGCGAATTAGTGGGAATTTTTATCTTGCACCAACTATCTCAATATTACAACGGGAAGGAATTAGGTTTGTACCTTAATATTATATTACTAATTCCTTCCCGTTGTAATAATTAATATTACAACGGGAAGGAATTAGGTTTTTTAAAAATCGTAGTGGCCAACAAATGGAAAAAATAAAGAAGCATTTTGTTAAAATTTTTAAAAGCAATGGTCTCCATTTATCTATTAGCTGTAATATTAAAATTGTCAATTACCTCGACTTAACACTAAATCTTAACAACAGTACCTTCCAACCTTACTCAAAGCCCGATAACACTCTTAATTATATTCACGCCGACTCTAACCACCCTCCGTGCATATTAAAAAGTCTACCGCGAACAATTGAACTAAGATTGTCTACTGCATCTTCACCAAAAAAATTTTTGAAAAAGCTGTTTTTCCTTATCAGGATGCATTAATAAAATCGGGTTTCTCATCCAAGCTCAAATATCAGTCAGATATAATTCCCACTAAAAACAAAAATCACAAACGAAACATTATTTGGTATAATCCCCCGTATAGTAAAAATGTTGCAACAAAAATTGGTAATCTTTTGTTAAAAATAATTGATATAAGCTTTCCTGTTGGTCATTTATTACACAAGATTTTTAACAGAAACACCATTAAAATTAGCTACTCGTGTATGCCGAACGTTAAATCAGACATTAATTCGCATAATCAAAATATTTTATACAATCATGAAAAAACAACAACAAAAACTTGCAACTGCATCAATAAATCTACCTGCGTTATGAACAACCAGTGTCTAAGTAAGAACATTGTGTATCAAGCTACTGTTTCTTCCAATAAACCAGATTACACAGATAAAGTTTATATTGGTATTAGCGAGACCCCTTTCAAGTTAAGATATGCAAAGCATTTAAAATCTTTTAATTTAATTAAGTACAGCAATGATACGGAGTTATCTAAAGAAATTTGGAAACTTAAAGAAGAAAATTTTTCGTTTGTTACTAAATGGAAAATTATCAAGCGCTGCCAAACATATAATCCTTCGTCCAAAATTTGCAATCTTTGTCTTAATGAAAAGTATTTTATTTTAACCCATACAGGGGGAAACCTGTTAAACAAAAGGAACGAGTTGGTTTCAAATTGTAGGCATAAAAATAAATTCCTTCTTTCGTTTTATGAAACTGGCGATTAGCTGATTTATATAAGATTTTCTTTGACGTTTTCTTTTTTTGTCTCTATAGAGACGTCAGATGTCGCTCCACTGTATTTTGTAATTTTATTAACGGTTTGTTTGTTTTTGATATAGTACATGGCTGATGATTGCCGTATTGGCATGAAACTATTAGTCCCATGAAAAGTTGTTTTTTCTATATGTAAATAAAAATAAATAAATAAATATATATATATATATATATATATATATATATATATATATATATATATATATATATATATATATATATATATATATATATATATATATATATACCGCTCTAGTTTTTCAAATTTTAAAAATGATATATATATATATATATATATATATATATATATATATATATATATATATATATATATATATATATATATTGGCCTTCATCAAGATTAATTCCGCCGTTTCGTGAAGAGCACATGTTGTTTTGTATTTCTAGTGCCTCTCTAATTTTTCTTTCAAACTTTTTATTTTTTACTTTTAATGTTCTTGTTTTTTCCCAAATAATATTTTCTTTGGAAAAGGTTTTATGATATGCTAATGCAGATTGATTAGGTTTGTTTTCATTAATGCTCTTTTGATGTTGATGCATTCGCGTATTTACCTGCATTTTTGTTTCACCTATGTAAACTTTGGAACAGTTGCTTTTTATTATATAGGTTCCAGGGTGGCTGTTACTTGGTAGTTTTGATTTGTTTTTTGATGTTAATAAAGATCTTAAATTTGGGTTTGATTTAAATACTGCTTTGTACCCTGCTTTTCGGAATATTTTTTGAAGTTTTGGTGAAAGGCCTGATACCCATAGTAAAGACACTACAGGAAGATTATTGTATTCTGATGGAATTGTGTTTTTATTTTGTCTTTTTTGATGAAATTGGTGTGTAATATTCCTCAATAGCTTTTCATCGTACCCATTTTCAACAAACATGTCAGTTAAAAAATTTATTTCATTTTGCAAATGATGCTTACTACAGATGGAGTAAGCTCTGTGGAGAAAACCTTTAAATATAGCTGTTAAAATATTTGGATCGTGATTTGAATGCGGTTTAATTTGAATGTTAGTGATTGCCTCTTTTCGATATACTTTATACTCATATTTTCCTATTATGTTATTTGTAATGGTTATATCAAGAAAGTTAAGTGTTTTTGTCTCGTTTTCAACTTCAATTGTGTATTGTATTGCAGGATGTTGTTGATTTAAAATATCTTTGAACTGTTTTGCTTGTTCGATGTTAGGAAATCTTGCATGAATGTCGTTTTGGACGCCATTTTTAAAATTTAAAAATCAAAAGAAGCCATGCAATCGCTGATATATATATATATATATATATATATATATATATATATATATATATATATATATATATATATATATATATATATATATATATATATATATATATGTATTTTTTTATTTTGTTTTTACGGCCGTCGTGCGGAAAGAAATCGAGAGTTTTAGTAAAAAGTAATAAAGTTTTAGTAAAAAATAGTAAAAATAGGTTAAAAGATGATTTTTGAAGAAAATCAAAATTTTTATTACAACAAATGAAAAAAAAATTTAGGACTTTTAGACAAACTTTACGTTACGAACACTATAAATAATACTATATGTTAAAAATTATTCGAGCCGTTGAGCCGTTTTAGTTCATATGTTTAGTTTTAGATTTATGTTCTCTACTTGGCAAAAAATGTTCTTAATATAAAATTATTGACAGAAAATGTCCGCAGTGTTTCCACGGATTTGATAATTTTATTTTAAAGTAATAATATTTCTGATGTTCCTGATTATTACCATGATCACTGCCAACTTTTGTGTTGCTAATCATATGGTGGTATCTGTTGTTCCATATTGCACTCATGAGTGAGTGTCAACAGCAACTGTGAAGTAGGGTTTTTCTCCAATAAATTCGCTGTTTCAATCGAGAAAATCAAGTTTATCGGAGAAAAATTATTTTGGGATGTCAAGGAGTTATATACATGTTTAAAATACTCCCATATTTTAACAGAAGGAGAACTGTATGCAAAGATATGAATGTTTTCCTCAATTTTACCACAAGTTTTGGACTTGTTATTTTCAACGATCTGTTGCCTTGTACTTTTGGCTAGCAAGAAGTTAGACTGTTGTGTAAAAAACGATCTCTTGCCTTGTACTTTTGGCTAGCAAGAAGTTAGACTGTTGTGTAAAAAACGAAAGAGGATATTTTGTGTCAATCCGCATGCGTGGGAGGTAAATTTTTCTTTCCAAATTTGGGTTAACATTGTTGTTTTTGTTGAACCGTTCTAAAAAGGTTCTGCTGGCACGACTGTCTTTTTTTTGTCACTTTTAAGTAAAAATTTTTTGTTGATTTTTTGCCTAATATTTCAATTGTTGTTTTGTAGTACTAAAACGTTTTGTTGTCCCAGTGTTTTGGAAAATTGTTCTGTCTTAAAAGTTCCAGTTTTGGTTTTGGTTCGTAAATTTTATAAAAGAAATTGTTAACCAATACTTAGAAAATTAGTAGTAATCGTGTGTTTTTTCCTCTCCGCATTCTTTCAGTTGAAAGACTGTTTTAAGGCGAAGTGCAAGACTTTACTCTTTTTACTCTAAATTCCGAGACCCCCGCTTTTGACGGGTAAGAAATGTGTCTCCCTCTTGACTGGATTGATATTGGTTTTTTGCCACAGATTTTTGAAAATGGCTCTGTGCAAACGTTCTATTACCCAATCAGGGACGGGACATATACCACACTTTTGACATTGCTAGCGTATTTATCAACATAGTCTTTACCCTAAGTGAAAAGTACTAATCCCAGAAACTTGAGTTAAATTGACACCGTTAAAAACATTAAATTTAAACATTAAAATTAAATTTACTGTTAAAAACGTTTCAACGAAGAAAGTTACGTATTTTATTTGAGGTATTGCGGTTTATTCTTCTCCGGCGAGTTGCCATATGGAGGCCACATACCAAGGCCAGCAAAGACGAGTTCAGCTCATTAAAGAGCATCATAACCCGCTTCAACGGCCCAAAAATAAGTGAGTTTAAGAGAAACGAAAAATAGTAGAGTAAAAGTTAGAAATCGAGTTTCAAAGATAGCATATTGAAAGCAGAAAAATATTACATTGTATGTTAGAATATGCAATTATAGATTAATTGGTTACAACAAATTAATACATTTCAAGATACGAATTATATTTAAGCAGTACACTCAAAACGAAACATTCAAAGTAGCAACACGATGACCTTAATAATTAGTAATATTATTGCTAGCGATTTTTTATTAAAAAATTCAATAAAATTACTTTTTTAATGGTTTTTATTATGATTTATTTTGTAATAACTTACCTCTGATAACAATCTATTTGACTTATATCTAGATACAACATAAAAACAAAGAAAATTTTAGGCTACTGCTTGTTTATATTTGATATAACAAAAGTTCAAGTTAACCGGTGTTTGACATACCAAGAATTGTATTTTAAATCAAGTTGTCAATTTAAAAATACCATGTATTGTTTATAATGGAATTTTTTTTGTGAAGTGCCTATACACAAAAAACGTTTACTACACACAATACATAAAATCCAATACTTATTTTATATAATATAATACATTGTTTATTCCTAAAAATGAATATATTATATAATGACATCAAATTTTTATATACATATTTAATATAATATATACTTAATAATTATTAATTTTTATTGAAATATATTTTCTTTAATTGATTAAAATACATTCTTATATATTTTTAATTTTAGCTTTCTGACCAAAGAATATATAAACCAAGTATAAACATGTTTTGCAAATAACCTCAAAACTATATACAATTACGATTTTTATTGTATCTTCAAGCAGCACATGGTATGTTTTGTCTTAAAAACGCTAAATTACTTTTCATTGATTGAAAACTTTGGACAGCATCTTTGTACGGCTGATCACCTTGTAAAAGATCTTGAACAACCTAAAAATTTAAAATACAACATTAAATATTTAAAATGAGCCAAAACCGAACATCTAGTTTTTTTTTCGGGATTAAAACCTGTAAAGACTCATGTTTTTCACGATCCAGGCGTAAAACAAAAACAGGTGTATATTACGGGCTATTTTACTCAAGTTTAACACGTGTTTTTTGAGGTTTTAAAGTCAATTTTAAACGTCGCATGCTTTTACCAGTGGTTTCACATTCCTTATGAAGATTCATTATAATATAATACTACGTTGCCGTAACGGTGAAGCCATAAATATTTTAAGTGGTGTTTATGGTAAGTACTAATTGTTAATTTCACGGAATGAAAACCATTATTAGCACGCGTTATTCTTTATGCTTTAAAAGGTTTTAAGAAAAACCATGCGCAAACTTTTTTTTTTTAGTTGCGCCGGCTAGGAAAATTACAAAATCGATATAAGGTATTTGGGTGGTTGATTTTTTCTATCGTTTCTAGCCTTTAGCCATGGTAATTTATAAAAAATCGTTGTTTGCAACAAATATAAAAATAGAAAGGTTTCCTGAGTTTACAAATTTAGGAGTTTACAATAACTAAACAAGGAAGCTCAACTTGTTCATACTCTCGAGTGTCGAATACAACGGGGGGTGGGAATAAACGGGTGGGTGGGAATTTTAGTCAAAATCTTAAACGGGGAGGGGGGGGGGGGTTAATAAAGGAGGTTAAATTGTCGACCTATTAAATCGAGATTTAATAGGTCGACAATTTGTAAAACCTGTTTACACTGAAAGTTTTTGTTTTTATCGGTGACTGAAAATTGTTTTCAAATTTTTAAGGCCGATTTTCACTGAATTTTTTTTTTTACTTTTGAGATATAATTTTGTTGACAAGTAAAAATTAATAAACGAGCGGGTCTTAATAAGCTTAGGGTGGGTGGGAAAAGTATTCAAAAATTATTAAACGAGGGGGGGGGGGGACGTTTATTAGGAACTCGAGAGTATTTAGCTTCAATATATAATTTATAATTAACAAAAGAAAATTTGTCAAGCTGTAAATAAAACTTTTAAAAGACATTTTCCATTATGTGTTAATAGTTTAAAAAGAAAAAGTAAAAAAAGAAAAGTTCATTTTAAAAATGTAGATTTAAATAAAAAATTTCAAAAAAATAAACAACAAAAAAACAACAGATATTGTCATATAACACGTAATAACTTGAAATTATTATATCATCATAACTTGAGATAAATACTATACTCCACTGATGATTACAAAAAAGAATGGAGCAAAGTTTTACAAATTAATACTAAAGACAGAAGTATTAATGAAAGAAGTATTGATGAAAGCCTAAAGACTTACATTTAAAAAAAGTTCAGTTTATTTGCGTTAAATAAACTGCAAATTTTATTCAAATATATTATTTTAATTATTAGTTTATTCTGTAATAAACTGAAAATGAAATTTAAAATACACTTGCCTTTCAAAAAAAATGTAATTTAAAATACACTTGCCTTTCGAAAAAAATGAAATTTAAAATACACTTTCATATTTTTAAAATGCCTTTCGAAAAAATTATTCTTTAATACATTAAATGCTATTTAACCTAATTTCAAATTCGGTTATATATATGGGATGACCAGGTATCACAGACAAACATGTATGGTATGACCAGGTATCAAAGAAAAATGATTTCTTATGTATTCTGCAAATTTACATATTATTGTTAATTTACATCATGCATGCTTAAGAAATTTGAATAGTTTGATAGTTACTTTTCATCTTTACAACAAACAGAACATATCAAATCTATTTCATGTTGATTTTCCAAACAATGATATTCACACAAAACATATCAAATCTATTTCATGTTGATTTTCCAAACAATGATATTCACACCAAACAGAGCATTTCCAATCTATTTAATGAGAATTAGTTATTACTAACAATCATAATTCCGCCAAACATATTCAATCTATTTCACGAATGTTATTACAAATAATGATAATTGTAAATCATGAATATTAAAAAACTAGATATGTCATGATTAGTGATTTTACAAAATTCCCTAAAACAAAGTATTCGCCAAGGCTCTTTGCCGAAGCACGGAGAATTTAAAAACACTTAGTATATTATGTAAAAAACAGGTTCCAACCTGCATTGGTGAAGTGCGTAATTAACCCACGAGTGTATTTGGCTATTATAATTAATTACACATTATAAGTAACACATTAGTTACTTATATTGTTAATTTCGTACAGACATTATTTATTGATTGTTACATCAACAAATTGTGGTACGTTTTGTGTGTACATTCTGAATATCACTGTTTATTTGCAAATAACTTTATAAAATGGCATAATTTAATAAAAATCACCTATTTGGAAATAGTATAAAATACATAGTGAAGACAATAAACTGGGAATTTGTTTACTGCGTTACATCAAGATCTCAAGTGGTGGAGAACGAAAAAAGCAAGTAAGCAATATAATTGAGTAAAACTGTTTATTTATTTTAATTATTTACCAAGCTTCTTTTGTTATTTATTTTATGTGTACTTGCACAGTATATACTTTATTTAGATTTATAATAAAAACTTAAGAATAAAAAAAGATCTATTTTAAATACCCTTACAACATTGTTTTTTTATTATCTTATTTACCTAATCTTTAAGTCAGAAGAGTAAGAGATGAAAAAAGTTAGAACTTATTACTCGATTGATAAGTTTAAAATTTTTTTCTTGTTTTTTTTTGTGTGTTGAGTTATTATTTGTTTTTTTGTTCCCAGCAAATTTTTTTTTGGAAAAACCGCCTTCATAACAAACATTTTGAGCAGTATGCTATGTTAACTAGAGCCAAAGCTCTCATTAGAGCAAAAATGAGGAAAAAAAAGGTACTGTAATTTCTAACAATTTAAAGATACCAGCAGTACCATGTATGTCAAAAAGATGTGGATCTATCACCCATACAGTACAACAAAAATAGTTTTTTAAGTACCTGATACCTCTAGTGGATCAAATAGTGTATCAGTTGACTAGTTTTGAATTTGACATTTTTTACATTCACTATATTTAACACATGACACAGTAATCTTGGTGTACAAAATTAGTTCTACAAAATGACACAGTAATCTTGGTGTAGTAATTCTACAAAATTAAATAGCATAATTGAAAGATTGAGAATTTAAAAAAAAAAAATTTAAAAAGAAGTCAAAGCAAAAAAGTGTATGAAATGCAGAATATGGTTTTGTCAAATATTTTAGTCAAAGGGGCTGAAGCTGTCAAGAGGCTGTTAAAGCACATTATAAACATTTGTTCAATGTTCAGATCCAGGATTGAGGCTGTGATTGAGGTTATATATTGGTAAAATATTGACTATTCTAAGCACATATATTTAAAAGACTTAATAATAAAGCATTTTCTATTTGTGTGTTTCCTTTTTATCCACGCACAAAAGCATTTAGTATAAAACTATTAAAATCATCTCTCCATTATGATGCAATATTGTTCATTATGATGCAACATTGTTCATATGCTAGAATACATTTTTGAATATTGAATATATTGTTATTTTAGTAAAAAACTACGAAGTGGAGTTTGAAGGCTCAAAGATTTTTTATCTTAGCCAATTTGTTTTTTTTTTCTCTAGTCTTGATTTTATGCAAGTTATTAAGCTCCTTTAAAAAAAGAAACAAGTACGAATATATAATGCTTCAATTGTTATATAATATGAATACAAATATATAATGTTAAAAGATGGTCGAGTGGTAGATTGAGAAGCATACAGTCTGTTAAGCATGTTGTAAAGCTTGTCTTGAAGTTTCTAAAAAAGTCTATTTACTAAACAATAGACATCACTTAACCTTAAGAAAATCAAAAAATTTAATTTTTTGATTTTTTTTAGGTTTTTCTATGTGGGATTAAAGTTTTCTTCAAAAACTGTTATGTTTTATAAACATTTCTTATTTGTTTTAGAGATTTAGTACCCTTTCATTTAGTATACAGCTCGTATTGTATATATAGTATCCATTTAATTTATATAGTTAAATATTTTTTGCGGTTTTGTTTTCTTTTTGGAAATTCCCTCACACACATCACATTTCTTATTATTAATTATTACAAAATCTATTTGTGTCAAATTAATACAATTTTATGTAAATGCAATATAAATATATTATGTAAATGCAACATTTAATTTCATTAAAATACTTTTTTGAACAAATAAGAAAATTTTGATTAAGATGTAAGTAAATTTTCTTAACAAATAAGATTTTCTAGCAAATAAATTTTCCAACTATTTAAAGGAACAGCAAGTGTAACTTTTGAGCTCCTTTTACAATGAGAGCAAAAAAAAACATATTAGGTTTAGTAAGAATAGCTTAGCAAAAGAAATATTAAGTTTAGTAAGAATATCTTAGTAAAAGACATATTAGGTTTAGTAAGAATATCTTAGTAAAAGATATTAGGTTTAGTAAGAATATCTTAGTAAAAGATATTTTTTTAAATTAGTTACATCAGCTAAAAAAATTTAGCACTTGGGAAATCTTAAAAAAAAGAAAGTTTTAAAAAAATAAAAGAAAACAGACCAAAGAGTCTAATAGGTTTTACAGAGTGACATCTGGAAATTTTTTAAATACCTTTATAGTGACATAAAACAATGTCTTCATTAAAATTTCACTAATTAGATTAATATTACTTGTGCAGTAAACATGACAGTCCTTCTCTATCCAATGCTACCAAGCTCTACATCCAATGCTACGGCTGATTTTATGCAAGCTTCTTAAAATACTGTTGCTGCTTCAAGCTCATCTGATGTTGAAAAGATTTTTTATTTTATTTTATACTTCCACTAACAAAAGCATAGTATTCAAATTTTTTTTGTTTAATGATACTTTTAGTTAAATACAAAAAAGCATAAAACTGAATAACAATAAACGAAATGTTTATCTAGAGATTTAGTTTGAAAGTGAGTGAAAAAAAGTTTTAGATAAAAAAAGTTTGTTAGGTTAAAAATGTGCAAAGTTTTTTAGGTTAAAAATATGCAAAGTTTGTTAGGTTAAAAAAGGAAAAAACCACCTAAACAAGATGTTATTCACAAACAATGGTAGCAATAACAAAATGATTATGTTAATTATAGCATTAAAGGCCTGACACTCAACAGTTTTTTCTGTGCAGTAGCTTTGTTAACCAAGGTTTGTTTTTTTTTTTTTTTTTTAATTCACCTCCTCAATGCTGAGAAGACCACTACAGACGAGGAGGCTACTTAATAGTGGTTATAACCCTCTCTCAACTCTATAACTCCAAAACACGAACCTTGATGAACAAGGCCACTGCGCGGAGAAAAAAGTTGAGTGCGGTACTACCAGGGATGTGGTGGGGATCGAACTCGGAACCTCTCACTTATGAAGCAAGTGTTTTACCACTACACCACTACCGCATCATTTTGGAGCTATGGATTATAGAAAAGCTAGTAATAACAATATAATAATAATAGTAATTTAAAAAAATTCTAATTTTAAAAATCTAGCCTCATGAATATATATTTGTAATGTATATAGAAATATATATATATATATATATATATATATATATATATATATATATATATATATATATATATATATATATATATATATATAGAAAATATATGCAAAAAATATAGAAAATAGAATTATTAGATTTTCTATTCAGGACATTTGATAATATTGTAAAAAACTGTCAAATATATTTTGACATTAAAAAAACACTGTGAGAAGTTAAGTTCCTCTATCTAAATGGGAAGTCAATAAAACAGATTTTTTAGAAGAGTGGGTATAAGTAATATTTAATAGAAAATTAAATAATAAAAATAATCTGTTTTTATTATGTTTAATTTTTATTAGAGTGTTAGATAAAACAGAAATAATGAAAATAAATTAAACGATAACCTTAAACTTAAAGTGTTAGTTTAAATATTTTTTCTTAATTCTTCAAATTCATTTCTTAAAATTCTTTAAATCTCTGCATATTCTGGAAGAATACTTGATTCTGACACAAACAGATATTGTTTAGAGATGCTTTTAATCAAAAATTATATATGTTTGAAGATGTTTACAAGAAACAGTTCATCAAAAGTGGCACTAACATCACCATTATATATTAAATCCACATTATATATTGCTACAATATACCTTCTATAAAGTATGCAAAATGCATACTGTTTTTAAATAAAAGCTGCTTTACAAATTTACAGTGTTGAAACTGAGGACAAATAAAGTTCAAAAATTCAGACCCACTTAGCTTAAATTAAAGTTTATCTATAGATACCATCAAAAATTTCTGGGGGTCTGATCAAAGTTTTGTTTGTTTTTTGGTTATTCTTGAGTGAAAATAGGAATTCAAACTCTCTGGTATACAGTGAAAATATTAAATACATTTCAAAAATAATAAAATATTTTTAACACTTGAATATACTATTAAAAAAAAAGTAAATAAAAAAAATAGTAATAACTCAATTGAACTTTACCTTAAAAGATGCATTTAAGTTTGACCTGTATGCTTTTGTTTTGCTTGGAAGTAAAGATGCAGTTTCTGTGGAATATTTAAGTTTAGACAAAAATTTTTTAACAGTCAGACCGTTTCTACTAATTTTTTTAGACATCATGTCTCTTTCTCTCTTGATGAGTCTCTTTCCAATAAGTTCAAAGTCTTCGTCTAACTTTTTAATTCGCATCATATGAGCTTTGTAAAAAAATAAAAAATAAAAATATTATTAAATTAAAATAAAATCAACAATCGAAAACAAATAAACAAAAAATTTACCATGAGTAAGACTATGAGCCAAGAAAACGAACTCTTGACGTTGTTTCTCATTACATTTAGCACGTTTACCTAATTAATAATAATATAGAATAAAATTTCTCTAACGTGTTTTAACTATATTTTATTAGCTCTAAAAAAATTAATTTTTTAATATAATTTATATAAAAAAGATTTCTTCAAAAAAAAAAAAAACATACATTTTTCAATTGCTGCTTTCTCCAAGTTATTAAACATATGATTAGATTCAAAGCATTGCTTTTTATGCATACTCTTTTGATTTTCTAAAAATGCAAGCATTTTATTCAAGCGATCTGATATCTTGCCATAACTTCTGACTAATCCTTGTGCAAGCTTGCATTTATTTTTCTCATTTACTAATTGTTGTGTCAATTCGTTCATTCCTATATAGTAAAAGAAGTAAAACAAGCTTATGAATAAAGGTTGAAATAAAGAAATAAAAATTACATTTTAAAAACATAAATAAATTTAATTCTATTTTTAGCAATGCATAAAATAAAATAGATTAAATATTATACCCCACATATACTATTTGCAGACTTGTTAAAAAACATTTTTATTACAAAAAGAGTTATCTATCTCTAGTACCATTTTTGTTATACTAAATTTGATATTTTTTGAATTATCGAATTTTTTTCAATAATATTGCTTATGTGACATTTAAAAAGCATCATATTTAAATTATTTAACAACAGTAATAAAAAAACATTGTTAAATAAGTTTTATTTTTTACAAAATTTGTTTAATTTTTGCTAAAAATTATATTTTTAAGGTAATTTTTTACTTCTCAAAACAAGTTTGAGAAAAAAATATTTGTGTTTTTGGTTGAGAATTTTTATGAAATTGGTTTAATTTCATTTAACCTAAGAAAAAACTTGGTAAACAAAAAAACAGTATATATATTTTTTTTTTGGTATTCTTCAAACCATTTTGAAGCATGAACTTTCAAAAGTATATATCTAAATTGCTGACTATAAGTTAAAATTAAAAAAAATCAATTCAAAAACAAACTTGATAAATCAGATTATTACAAAATTATTTATTAAATAACACTTAATAAAAATTATATTCAATAAAAAGTAAACAATGCTATTATAAAAACATTTAAAGCTGTTATAGCACAACATCTTCTGTTATTGTGCTCTGCAATTAATGTTTTAATCAGTTGTCACAATTTATATTATTACTATTATCATTATTATTAATAATAATAATGTATGAAACGTTTCCTTTTTAGGTTTTGCAGAAGCAAATGAACAAATACATCAAAACTGGTCCAAAAATATCCAAAAACGACAAACTTCCAAACATGCAAAATTAAAATCAAACAACCAAAAACAAAATCAAATTAAAATAAAATCAACCTCATTTTTTATAACAAAAACTTAAAAAATGTCTAAAAAACGAAACAATGAGAAATATTTCATCAATAAAATAATAAAACAAAAACTAAACTAAAAGAAATAAACTAAAAACTAAAAAGAAAGAAACTTAAAACTTGATACAATTATCGATTTTTAAATTTAAATGAACAATTTTAATTTTAAATAAAGTTAACAATTTCTCAAAAAATTATCAGTAACTTAATTTTTAAATTTAACAACTATTAAACACAATTTTGAGAATTATTTTAGAATTAATAAGTAATATTAAATTTTATGTTAATAGGTTATTTTAACATTAAAAACTAAAACAAAAAGTCTCTAATTTTGCTTGCAGAAAAAAAAAAAAAAAAAAAAGAAGCTTTTAACATAAGAAACTGTTAACTTGTTAAATTAAGTAAATGAACAAATATAATTAATATAAATTAGGCGAATAAAAAAGTATAATTAATATAAATTAAACGAATGAACAAATATAATTAATACAAACTAAGCGAATGAACAAATATAATTAATATAAATTAAGTGAATGAACAAATATAATTAATACAAATTAAGCAAATGAACAAATATAATTAATATAAATTAAGTGAATGAACAAATATAATTAATATAAATTAAGTAAATGAACAAACATAATTAATGTAAATTGAACTGTTAATAAGTTCAAAAGCATTTTGAGATTCTAAAGAATAAAGTTCATCATAAAGATCTTTTTTACTGAGTTCTTTTTTTAATTTATCTCAAATTTAAGTCAAATTTTTTTCCTACATTTTGAATTGATTTTAGCAGATTAAACTTTAACTTAAAAAATGCCTTTTTCATAGTAAAAAATGTTAATGTAAATAATTTTCATTATCAATAAGAACCCAAATATAAAATTTGATTCTGATTCAATATATAGAAAATGTTAAATTGATTTTAATTCAAGACAAGCATTCATTAAAATTTTTTAAACCATTTCAATTAACCATATTGACTTGAAGTAATTGGCAGATCTTGTAATTATGGTTTGAGAGTAAAGTTTTTAAACTAAAAGAATTTTTACCCCCATTTTTAAGTACTTTTATTCTCTACATTTTTTGAGTAAAAAACTCACCAAATGATTCTTCTTCAGCAAAATTATTCTGGAGGGTATAGTCAGGATTTATATCCAAAGCTTCAAGAACATCTCTATCAGTTAGTGAAACAGAATGAAATTCACTGTAAATCTGATGTTTTATTTCTTCCATGGTAATATTGTGATATATATTATTCTAAATAAGAGCAGAAACATCACAAAAAAATTTTATACTTTAAAAACACTAGTGCTAATTATAATAACTATGTACCAATAAAATTACTCAAGAAAATAGATAATGATAAGCTTCATATTAAGAATCAATTGGTTTTATGGACAACTTAGTAGAGAAAATGAAATTTTTATTATGGTTAAAACTAATTTTTTTTGCTGATTAATAAAATATTTAAAAGCATACTGGTATACAGAATCAAAATAAAATACTGTAGTAATAAATAAATAAAAACTAGGAAAATATCGTTTAAAGCTGTTAATTAAGAATTTTAAAAAAGTATTTCTGTTTTTGTTATAAAGTTAGCAAATCTAGGTATTAGTGATGTTAGATTAACCTGTTAAAAATCAGCAAATAAAACCTGACATCTGATAATCATCAATATATATATATATATATATATATATATATATATATATATATATATATATATATATATATATATATATATATATATATATATATATATATATATATATATATATATATATATATATACAGTAACCTTTTTGATCATCTTCTTAGTAAAACTGCCACCATTATCAACACTGTCATCATTAACATCAACATCAGTGTCATCATCATCATCATCATCATTATTGTCATCATCATTATCAGTAGCGACTTCTTCTTCTAACTTTTTAACTTCTTTTTCGTTTTCAAGTGTTTCTTTATTTAACTGTAACATAAGTTATCTTATTACTCATGTAAGTTTATAAAATTTTAATAAAAAACACATATAACATAAAATACTTTTCATATATAAAGACATTTAAAAAGTAATAAAAAAAAACTTTAATAGGAAATCAATGTTTTGATAATATTCAAAATATTTCATAAGTTAACAGTGCTACAAAAAAATAGGTTTTCAAGTTGTCTCTTTTTTGCTAAAAAAAATCTTATTATACTAGGCAATCAGAGATACCTACTGCAGTAGAGTATAAGATTTATTTTACCTGTATAATCTAACTTTGCTCTTTTAGTTGATTTGCATGCATGATCACAATATTCTAACCAATTTATCTCCATGGTAACATGCTACTAATTTTCATAATGATTACTACTCAAATTAAACTATGTCATTATGATTATTTAAAAACAAAACATTACCGAAGAAACAATAGTTTTAGTTTGTTCATCAAAATAATGTTACAAGCAATATAAACCTCTTACTTCTTTTTCATCTTCATCTACTTGAAATAATTTTGCTTTTGTCTCTTTAATTTTTTCACCAATTGCTCGTATTCCAGGATAAATTTTATCTGTGATTGCTTTACCAATGGATTTCATGAAACCCATTTCAAAGCATGTTTCTGCTTCAAAAACTTTGTTTTGGTTTCCCATAACAGTTACATTCAATTTGACAGCAAAACAAGCCTTTGATGCCAACTCAAGAGATGTGTCGAAGCAAGCATGATGAATTTGGATAATATTTTTCTTAAGGTATTCAGAAGCATCTTTAACAGCTTTTAATCCAGCTTGAGCATAACTAGAAACACTATTACTGATAGCTTCTGTTTTATCTATGATTGTCTTTGATTTTTTAACTAGAGCTTCTGCTGCATTTAAAATACTCATAACCAACTTGTATCTAACTTCACGTATCTGAAGAAAAAATAAAATTTTAAACTAATTAAATTGAAAAAAAATTAATATTATATAACATGTAAATTGGTTCAAAGGTCTTTTGTAACTGTAGAGATTATAATTTTTGGAGATAAAAATAAATAAATACCTCTTGCTTTGCTTTCTTTGCTACTATTTTAATAGATGCATACTTTTTAGCCATCACACACTTAGCTAAGCATTTTTTGTTTGCATAAAACTTTCCAACTTAAAAAAATTAATGTAGTATATATATATATATATATATATATATATATATATATATATATATATATATATATATATATATATATATATATATATATATATATATATATATATATATATATATATATATATATATATATAAATATATATATATACATGTTAATAAATGTTCCTGGTTTATTAACATCTATATATATATATATATATATATATATATAGAAGTTAATAAACCAGGAGTACTTCTGCAATGCCAGAAACATTGAAAAATCACTACTTACATGACTCAAAAAAAAAAAAACAAAAAAAAAAAAAATAAAAGAAAAGTTTGCTGCCCCATACAAATTTTCAGTCAATATAGCAGCACTCCTATGCGGCAGCAGGTCATAGGATAATTTATATATGTACTCTGACACTTTCTGGGTAAGTTTTTTTTTGTTTGTGTAGTATCCGGATTTTCTAGGCATGTTGTTCTTGGTAAAACAAAAGCATTTTTTGTCATCAATGACCAGAAGTGTTTTGTGTTATAGAGATGGTTAACCAGTTTCCTGCTTTTTTTTTATTTTAATTGTTGTTCTATAGTACATTTTGGAGTCTTTTTATGTTTCCGATATTTAATATTTAAATTTTTTTAACTGAAGACAAATTGTTGATTGATTTACGCCGAATTTAAAAGCTATTTTTCTCTGACTGACCCCTTTTCAATTGTTGACAAGTCTTGTTAATTTGGCTTTTTTTGCTCTAGTCTAGGATGTTGGACGACAAGGGTAGTTTCTATCAGAAAAGGATTGAACAGAATCAAGTCTTTTTAGGTTATCATATATTGTACATCAAGCAAATCCTTCCTTTTCAAGATGATTTACAATTTCCTTTTTTTTTTTATATTAGCTTTATTTACAAAAAAATTTTGAGTCACTTTTGAAAAGATTCTTGTTCAGCATTTAACATCATTTTAAATAGTTTTTCAAATAGTGTTTCAAATAATAAAGTTTATATTTTATAGAACGTTTATGCCTACGCATAAAACCACAAAAACAAATTATTATGCTTATATAATTAAATTCATAATCCAAAGTCCCATAACTTCCGCATCACCAATTATATATACATATTAGGGTGCATCACCAAATTTTTTTTTAGATTTTTGAGTCTGGTATATAGTTCTGTTCTATTAGTGGAAAGATACACTGTGGTAAAAAAGAATTAAAATTGCTTAATATATAGAGGTCCCACCAGCCCGCACAAGTTTCACATATGTTAATTAAAATTAAGCTCCGCATAAATTTTTTCCATTGGATCTTTGACATTATTCATAGTCTTTGGTAGCCATGTTTAATTTTTTCAAGATTGTTATATGATCTTTGTCTGCCATTCAGAAGTTATATAAATAATTCAGAAGTTATATAAATAATCATGATTTATTAACTCATCTTAACAGATTGGTAAATATACAGTATTATTCACACTGTCAATTTACACTGTTTGTAACTTTTATAAAAAAATTAAGAAACTGAAATTGCTTATGTGTACTGTGTATAGTGCTTAAAAGATTATCAGTTTATTCAGCTAATATATAGAATTATAAATGTGGCACATAGGATAGTATAGCATGTTATAGAATAAAGCATAGCTAATGTCAGCAATATAATTAATTTCTAAATTTTATTTAAAATATAAATGTTAAAGTTTTTTTTTTTTTTTTATCCTCTAGCATTTCGTTTACCCGGAGGAGATTTTTAATAAAATCTGACGTGTTTTCAAAGTCGAGTCTACTAGCCTAGGTGATGTGATGTTGAAGTAGTTTGAAATCATTTTGAATCCAGAAGAGTACAGTGTTTTTTGCAAGCTTTTCTCTTTTTTTCAGAACCATCACCTAGTAAAACTATATCTGTTGTGCCAAGTCCTCAAAACACAACTCCTTTCTCAGCTTCCAAAAAAAAGCCACAGACTCGTCGAGCTACAGAGTTGTTTGGGATCAGCCCTGCTATATGCGCAGATGATGGAACAATCACAGGTATTCGGCTGCCAACTTGCTTACAAGTTTTTAGAAGCATGATGTAACACTGCAATGTAGCAGTAAACAGTCAACGTCCAGGATCAACTGGTGCACCATCAAGATTTACAATAGCAAAAATAGTGCTGAAAGAAATTGCATCGCTGTATGGAAAAGCCAACACACCGATGGTTACAGAAAGAAGAGTTGATGTTTCAATGGTTGCTTCTTCTTATGCCACTGCCGATTGTGCAAAGCGCAAGGTTGTAGGTGAGATAGTGACAACAATTCAAAACACCTGGCAGCCACCCAAACTCCTCATTCTGCATTGGGATGAAAAGTTGACTCCCACTCTCAATAATCCACGTATCACTGAAGAGCATATGACAGTGGTTGTAGGTGATGCATTACAGCTGAAGATGCTCAGAATTCAAAGTTATTTCATGGCAACGGACATGTCAGTCGGATAAATAATTGCACAGTTGACGACAAAGCTGCTGAAGGAGTGGCGTTGTATCGATCAAGTTGTGAATATGACATTGGATACAACAAGTTCAAACACTGGCCATCTGACTGCAGCTTGCATTGTCATACAAGATAAGCTACAGCATGTTCTCCTATGGTCAGGTTGTCATCATCATGTTGGTGAAGTCCTGCTCTCTCACGTCTTTACTGACTTGAAAACAGAAGTATCCAAATCACAAGGTTGCGAAGCAATTGGGATTTGATACCACATAATTCAACTCAGATAGTTCCTTTTCGTCCCGCTGATCATGACACACAGTTGCAAGACCTATTGACTAAAATGAAGATTGAGATGATTGATTGTGCTGCTAAAGATGTTGAATTTCTGCATGATGATTACCATGAGTTCACTGAACTATCACTTGTGTTTCTATCTGCATCTAATGACGAGGTGAAATTTTGGAGACCTGGTGCCCTGCATAAGGCTTGATGGATGGCAAAGCTCATCTACAGCCTCAAAATTGCACTCCATGAGATGCAAATTGGAGAACTGCCAGCAGGAACCATTACCACTAGTCATCAAGTAACCAAGGTGCGTCATTTTGTCACATTTATTACACATGTCTATGGTGTGTGGTGGCTCACATGTAAGAAGACTGTTAATTTACCATGGAATGATATACAGCTGTACAAGTGCCTTCTGGAGTATGAAATTTTTGACAAGGATATATCTCAGTCTGCAATTCGAGCACTTAATCGTCATCTTTGGTATCTTACAGCTGTAATGATTCCACTTGCTCTGTTTAGTGAATGTGTTCCAATGTCAGAACAACGAGCTCTGGCAGATGCCTTGCTAAAGCTCAGGCCTGTGAATGTCCTAGAAGCTCCACTGGATTGCTTTGGCAATGGCTGGGGAAAGCCACATTTTCCATTGTCTATCAAGTGCTCAACACGACTCTTTGACCTTGCTGGAG